GAAGAGCAACCAGGTAGCATTCTCACTGAACGACCTCGTCTACGTATTGAAGGAACCTCGTTTATCAAAATTCGATGAACATTACGTGGGTCCTTACAGAATTTGCGAAATTTCAGAACAGAATAATGCGATTCTAATGGCAGGAAACGGTAAGAAATTTGCAAAACATTTGGATAAGCTGAAACATGCTTACATTAGGTCTGCTTATGCTACATAATATATGCTTACATTAATCTGCTTGAACAACTCTGGTTGCAATGGACGACCACTTAATCCAGATAGTAGCAAATTGAAACGGCCAGCGTGATTTGTTCAAAGATCGACGCTGTTGCTACCTGCTCCAATTTCCTAACAATATTTCCTCACTCTCTTTCCTATGTAACTAATTATAATAGGTTCACAGATTTCTATATTTTCTCTTCATCACACGTTGTCAATACACACTGCCGAGTCAGAATTTCAGGAATTACACAGAACACGAAATTTGATATTTGTAATCATCGTGTCAACCCTGACCGTACCAATCTTCGAAGACCGGAGGTACCACGGCCCGCAATCATTAGCGCAGACAATTTTGCAGTCCAGGAACCGGACACCATTCATCAGGAGGAGGCGCGCGCCAACGAAAAAAGCACCCTGTATACAGTAGCAGAGAAGATAAGGTGGATGGGACCGTTGCAGAAACCAAGGAGAAGCATACAAGAGCTGAGAATACCGCTAGATCTCGATACACTATCAGGTCCTCAAGAATCGGGCGTATCACACATCCCTATACGTAGCATGCCGGACCCAGGTACTGCAGACCAAAAACAACACGGACTGTAGATGATGTGTAGAGGCCTCACCAAGGATTTCCACCGGCCCGCCTTCTCACTGATAATGGCACCTGCACCCTCGCAAGAAGAAAGTCTCGCGCAACAACAGTATTCATCATATCATTTAGAAAAAACTCGCGTGTCACCCATAATCAAATCTATTACAACACTTACGTAAATGCATTGGTAAATAATTCATATCTACACCTCATCACGTTACGATATTCTATTTCTTCTGTTTGCCATAACGATTTCGTTAAATTTAAGTCATACTCATCCACCAAAAATATGCAACGAACAGAGGATAATCTAGAAACAGTCTCTCGAGACTATTTCAAGCTTAAGGTGGGGGATGTTATATCCTGTAATTTCATTTCCTCTTTTCATTGCACATTTTCTCGTCTTGCGAAATGACGACGAGAAATGTCGACGCTAATCAACGGCGACCGCGAAGTTCATCGGACGGTAAACTGCTTAATCGACATTTCTCGGCGTGCATTGCACCAGGAGACTGACGAAATCTCAACACGATTTTCGTACGGTCGCCAGGGCAACATAAGTATACGGAAAACGACGCAAGTGTCTTTTTTTTCGGCAGTCTCGCTTGACGGAGCTTTGTCTTTTCCTTTACGCGCAGCGGCGGGCCGAGTGACAACGGTCACTCAGCTGTACGGTTTCAGGTTTCGCGACGTTTCCTATCTTCGGCGACGCGACCTTGCGATTACGCGCGGCCTGACAGGCGAGTTTTATAAGACACCAGACCGTGAAGTGCAACGTCCGAGACAATGACAACGTATCCCGCAGTGCCTAAACTGTGTGTAACGGCTCCGAGCGCCAGCGAGTCTTCCGTAATTTCAAGGACCCGAAATCCCAACCGAGATGACCGAAAGGGTGAACTCATTTATCTCCATCATCATTGGTATGTTACGACTTATTTGTATCTTTTATTTATTTGACTGTTAGAATATATCTTTGTTGTTATCAAGAACGAGAGTGATTTTCTATCCCTCCCGTTCCCTACCCAAAACTGCGTACCTCACCGGTAAGTTTAGACAGGGCGTGCTTTAGCACCTTAAAAGAGCCAGGACCCGTTATTATAAATAAAGTAACGACCGCAACGCGGGACGTACCAATATACTTATTACGAAAACAAAATATTCAAATTATCGTTTTATAAATATTGTTATGATCAATTCATAAATAGTACATTACTGTTAAAACTATGCATTTAAAATTTAGCAAGTAAATGATTTAAAATTTTGTACATATATAATTAAAGCAGTTGAACATAACGAACGTATTCATGTTATTAATTGTTATATATTGTTTATTTGTTAATGATATAATTAAAAACTATTAACACATTTCTGTTTTTAATATTTGTATAATGCGCCTGGAATAATATAGTATGCAGAGATGTTCAGATTGAATTTACAAAACAGAATGGCTGTGTGAGCAATTTCAAGCAGCTGTTTGAGTTTACTGAAAACTTCATATATGGGCAACGGAACTTTGATGTTTTGACATTATTTTCGTAAGATATCGTCATGTTATCGACAAGGTACTATAGAAATTATTCCCAACGATATTATGCCAAGAATATTTTTCAAAAAGGTTTTATCCTATTCGTCTGTTTTTACACATATGCCTACAATGAATTTGTAGCATAACCTTCAATTTTCGACATTCTTTCTATATAAACATTATTTTGGTGTATGAAAACATGTGTCTCTTTTTGATTCCTTTGCAGAACACGTATGCAATTTTCATTACAACATATTTAAGCATGACCTGTATCCAACTGTATGCACTGCTACGTTTGCAGCATTAATAACATTTACTAATTGTTCATTGAATTATGGCTCTGCGTCGAAAGAATAACTTGAAGCTACAAGTCTCTGAAGGGACTCCTATGCCGGTGTATGTACTATTGCTACAGTATTTAAGCTTCTGTAGATTACAACAACTACATTACTATTATTATATTAAATAATATAAATATAATGTCAGTTATATTTATATTGAAATGTATCTAAGAACATTTGTGTTTGTAAACAAAACATAATTAATTAAATATTTTAGTTTGTAACAAATTGTAATAAAGTCCATATTATAGAACTCCACCAAGAAACCTAGATAAAAGGACTACCATAACAATAGGAGAAAATACATTTGTGGTAGAAGCAGATGATTTAGAGACTATTTGTATTCTTGGACGTGGAGCATATGGTATTGTGGATAAAGTAAGACATAAACAAAGTCGCACCATTATGGCTGTGAAGGTATTATAAATAACTGTATATGTTAATATCAGCTTATGAATTTTAAGCATATTTTTACATTAGTATTTATTCCATAGAGAATAACTGCAACAGTTAACACACAGGAACAGAAACGATTACTTATGGATTTAGATATTTCTATGCGTAGCTCAGCATGTCCATATACAGTACAATTTTATGGAGCATTATTTAGAGAAGGAGATGTTTGGATTTGTATGGAAGTTATGGATATGAGCCTTGATAAATTTTATACAAAAGTATATAAATATGACCGTGCCATTCCTGAGGATATCTTAGGAAAAATTGCTTTTGCAGTAAGAAAACCTTGAACAATTATAACGTGAATAATATCCTATTGTATATCACATTATTAACTGCAATCCTAATTTTACATAATATTTACAGGTAGTAAGCGCATTGCATTACTTATATTCACAGTTACGAGTAATTCATAGAGATGTAAAACCTAGTAATATTTTAATTAATCGAAAAGGAGAAGTAAAAATCTGTGACTTTGGTATTTCTGGTTATCTTGTAGATTCAGTTGCCAAAACAATTGATGCTGGTTGTAAGCCATACATGGCTGTACGTAACTTTTACATGTATATCATATGAATTTTGTTCTTATCGATTCAATAAATTCTCCATCGTAACCTTTTTTTCAGCCAGAAAGGATAGACCCGTCGGGTAACCCTTCACAGTATGATATCAGATCTGATGTTTGGTCATTAGGTATATCTCTTGTTGAATTAGCAACAGGAAAGTTTCCTTATGAATCCTGGGGTACACCTTTTGAACAACTAAAACAAGTTGTGAAAGATGAGGCACCAAAATTACCTGCTGGTAAATTTTCTTCTAGTTTCGAAGAATTTATTAATAAATGGTAGGCAAAATTATCTTTAATTGAATCTTACATTATATATGCCTATGTGACCTTATTGATTGCCATTTTTTTCAGTTTAATGAAAGATTATACTCGCCGTCCGAATTACAATCAATTGCTGGAGCTTAGTTTTATCACAGAACATGCTAAGAAAGATACAAATGTTGCTAAATTTGTTGGAGAAATTTTAGACTTACCTGATGATGAACAGTCTGTGTAGCATAAAACTATTTTTGACATTATGTACCACATGACCTTTAATGTAACTTCATATTGTGTATCGAAGTTATTTAATCGATTTTCTATACGCAGTTTTATGAATCGTATGGTTCATTCATTAGAACGACCTAAGTAAACCTAAATTTAATTTTAAGAGGATATGTAGAACTTTTGTGAACAAGACTTCCATCTAAAGTTCACTTTTTTCATTTGTTCAATATGAAATCTCTATTGTCTATAATAATCCTCCTGGGACTAACAGATACTCTACAATAAAGATGTTTAGGTGTGTAAATATATACAAATATTTTCTACGTGATATAACAATAATTTATCACTGTAGCAATATAGGAAAATTCAAACTATAAAACATTTTTAATTATTATGTATTATCAAAGAACTCAATGTATACTTTAGTAAAAGAGCATAATTAAGCAGTAATGCACTTGTAATAAAACATTATACTCTACAGTAGCGATATTAATACACATAATGGTGCAATCAACAATAACGTTCACACTTAAGAAAATTATCAAATTGTAAAAATCATGTAGCATTTTACAATAATTATGACTGGAGGAATGTTAAACTAATTACATATTTCTTTTATACATATTGTAATTCTGTAACAAAGATAAATTACCAATAAACGTAATTGCAACATGTATCACAAGTGTGAACAATATGAAGCAATATCATTTTTTATACCATATATATTATATTTTTTATTAATTGGCACATAGTTTATTATTTAATGAGAATTGAATTTACTAAAATTATTATCCATAGAGGTGAACAAACTATCATAGAAATGTTATCTTTCATGTTACATGTTGAAAGACTATTTTATTTACAAATTACTTTGTCAACTTTAAAATAGCATGTACAATGGAACATTTTCCTGTGATTTTGGTGATTTTTTCATTACTCCTTTTCGTGAGAAAAAGTGAACATTACACTAATATAGACTTTATAGTATTTATTAAAATGTTTAATTTTAAATATAAATATTTATGGGGAATTAAGTAAGGAAAAGAACTTTCATTAATGATAAATTTTATATGTGATACTTGTTTTAATAAAAGAGATAAATGAAAGAAATATTTGCATGTTAATAAATGTTACTAATAACATTTTGTCTATACAAAACATTTCATTCCTTTGTGTTGTTTTGTAATTTTTGTATGTATGTACATTATAGAAATCAGGTAACCAGAGGAAGCATATTTATATGTCGTATGACAAAATGTTTCTATGTCTCTTAACATTATTTTGAAACACAATATGTCATTAAAATAATGAAATGTTTACATGGTTGTACAGTATGGCAAATTAAAAGGTATTATATTTGTTAATTTTTTAGTTTCAGGAAGACATCGGTGGCATTAAAACCATTCCCTTACAATCGAGTGCAATCTTTACACCCAATGCGAAAAACCCGATGCTCTTAATCACTGACCTAAAAAGAAAAAGTTGCACGTAAAAGTTTCTTCTTTATTTTAATTACAAGAAAAAAGTATTTTAATTTATACGAGTTACTTCCAACATTTAATGAAGAGATTATAAACACCAATAAAATAATCGTATAACTTTAATATTGTTACTATACCATTTAAAAGAGTCATTATAGATCTCCTTCATAAATGCAATAGCGCCAGCCATTCTTCCACAGATTCTAACAGAAATTTAAAAATAAATACTTTCAACTGTTTCGAACGATGTTTCTTGAACAATGTCTGGTACAACTTAAAACCACACTATTATAAAATACATAACCTTAAAAGATACTTATTCTTAAACTGTGCTTTATATAGATAGGCAAATGTAGTACAATTGCACTGTGAATCGCGTAGCGCCACAGCCGATTCTAGTACGCTCTAGTACTAGCCGTGCTGAACAACGTAGCAACACCGTTCATGGAGGATTCGGGAGTCCTACCAAGTCCTATTTTCAATAGTAGAGTCTGTAACCGTTAAATTTATACTTGGTTCTCCGACTAGCCGCGGGATCGGTTACGAACCCCTCGGTCTTGTCACGTGACCTATTGAGATTGGTTCGTGCCTCCAGGCACTGGACAGCGGAGAGTTCTGGTTGGTACAAGAAGAAAGTTGGAAACGTTCTGAGAGTAACAAAGTTTCACGTATATTCTGTTGAAATTGATATGTACAAAGAATTGTTGCTATGCCCGCGATTGAGGTTAGAGTTCAAAATGAATTGCGAAATTTATACGTCGATTGATTTAACAGTTCGTTAGGCCTTACCGCTCGTTAACAATATGCCGCGTTATGCCGACGTTCTCTCGGAAGCGTATCCTTGTCGATTGTCACGGTTAATCTAGTTGCAAGGTTATCGTGCGCGCACAAGTGAGGACCTGTCGCATCACCCACGCATATGGCCGAAATTCGGAGAAAATGCGTGGATGGTGACAAACATAATGCCTCAGTCAATCTGCAACACCCAAGAGCTTACGCGTCGGCACTATGTGTGGATTTCGAGTGTTCTCTGGTGCTGGGAGAGAGACTACGACGATGCCGAATCCGTTCGTGTATCGCGAGTCGAATACGACGCGGAAACCACCATCCGCTCCGGCCGGTTGAACCGGGGGGGGGGGGGGGAGACGAATACTAGCCCGTGCGTATGTTGACGATTGAGTATTTGTTGCAGCTCTCACGCAAAAGGCCGAGTTGTCGGAGAAAATGCGTGAGTGGAGACGCGCAAAAAGCCCCAGTCAAACTGAAACACCCAAGAGCTCACTCGTCGGCACTATGCGTGGATTTCGAGTGATCTCCGGAGTCGGGAGAGAGACTGTGACCATGCAGAATCCGATCTTGATCGCGAGTCGAGTACGACACGGAAACCACCATTCGCTCCGGTCGGATAAACCGGGGGGGAAACGAATACTAGCCCGTGCGTATGTTGACGATGGAGGATTTGTCGCAGCACTCACGCATATGGCCGAGTTGTCGGAGAAAATGCGTGAGTGGAGACGCGCAAAAAGCCCCAGTCAAACTGAAACACCCAAGAGCTCACTCGTCGGCACGATGCGTGGATTTCGAGTGATCTCCAGTGTCGGGAGAGAGACTGTGACCATGCAGAATCCGATCGTGTATCGCGAGTCGAATACGACGCGGAGATAGAAAAATAAGTATCGTTAGACCGAGACGAATATGTCTAGAATGAAATCGTACCTCTTTACTATTTTGCGGCTATGTACAATACATCGTTCCAGTGACTGCTGCGTGGTTCACGACTGATAAATTAAATAACGATTAACTTCCCAAATTTCCGTGTTGTGGCAGTGCCAAGGCGCGGTTTGTCCACTTGACTCCTCGGTTTGAGGCGCGTACGTAACGAGGGCAAGAAAGGCTGTTTGACAATCTTACCAGGTCGATTTGACCTCTCTCTTACGTACCGGGTTTCGCCGTACGGACCCCCTTTAGAATCGCGTGTTTATCAGTTCGCTTCCCAGCGCAGAGTGCGTATCGACGGGCTCGCATCGACCTCCTTCGATCGGCATTTGGTGGGGATCGATGCGCACGTATTCTTGATAGATAGTGGGGCTTTCCCGCTCCGATTCCATGACGCGGATCGCGAGCATCGTAGATCCGCGCGGTGGCGGGGACTCACTGCTGCTTGCCAATATACACATACATACGTACGATATGCCTAAGTCTCTACGATATTTAAATATGTAATCGGAACGGTTACAAGTCCTAGTCAGCCTAGTGATGGGCACCATCGACTAAAAACTATCGACTAAGTCGATAGTAACCAACGACTACTTTCAGTCGACTAATTTTTTCAATCGTCGACTACTTTAGTCTCTTCAAGCGACACGCTCGAACTATCGAACTATTGATCGCTATTGACTGGATCTTGATTATTTTCTTCGCGATGCAAACGAATTGTAATTTTTCCATATATTTTTTTATGCATTACCAATAACTGTGCAAATTATTGCTTATAACCTAATTGATTTTCATAAAAAATTTGGAGCAGTTAATTTTTTAAGTGCCAATATTAAATAGCTTACAAAAACTCGAATATTAGTAATTGTTTAAAGAAACTTGTTTACCACTTATATTTTTGAAATTCTATCTATGAACTAATACATTTCCAAAAGGTAAATACACCAATGGTGCTGAAAAGTTGATGATATAATCTATACAGAACTTATAATGCAAAATTTCAGTCGACTAAAAACTATCGACTAAATAGTCGATAGTATGTTGCGACTAAATAGTCATTAGTCGATAGTTTAATTTAGTCGATGATGCCCATCACTAGGCTGACTTAGTCTAGTTTAGTTTAGTTTAGTTTGGCTCATTCCTCCCGGGAGGAGGGAGTTTCGCTACTCCCCCCCAAGGCCCATCTGTGACGTAATGTCGGTAGATATCACACAGCCCTGCAATAGGACTGCGGTGGGCATTACCCGGGGAGACCGTTTCCCCCGGCTTTCCAATCCGGCCAACTTTTTTAGGCCCGGGCCACATGGAGGCAGGGGAAGTACTCACGCAGGGGGCGGAGAGTCACTACGATCGTCCCATCCCTACCTGATATAATAGCTAATGGAGTATGGACGTCGGGGCAACCGATCCTTCGTCTCCATAAGTGAGTACTGGCTCACTCTTTACTTCACCCACAGATCGGGTCTGTACCAAGGGTGGTATCGTCGTGCTTGTGTACTTCCATCATCGAGAGAGAGTTGTATCGCCTATTTCAACCCCGTATCAGTTACCTACCTATGTCCCGAAGAATTCAGGAACCCCCCCTCCTCTGGTTACCCATTGTCAAAATTACCACCCCCCATCAAGGACAAGGAGGGAGTCCCGGGACTCCGAGAGTGATACATGGGGAGGCCGTTCTAGCCGACCTCAAGGAGAGACGTGGTCGGGTTCGGCGATCACCTCCCTCGGGAGCCGCGATGGACCATAAATGAATCCATCTCCAGTTGAATCTAGTGTTATTGAAAGCTGGGTTTGTGAGTTTAAAGTGGTGAAAACGAGGTAGAGTAGATCGCGTATGCCCCCCCACCCTAGAATCGACAAGGAACGGGACGCAAAATGGTAGCCCACCGGAGTTCACCGAAATTTCTCCGTAGAGTAAATATCAGCTACATCAGAGACTACCGTTCGCGTTGTGGGTCGAATATCGCACCCATCCCTAATGGTTAATGCCCTCTCTCTCCGGCGTATCACGAAACGCCGCGGCGTCTGCCAATCGCCCCATGACCCGTCGACATGTGTGTTCCAAGGTCATGGTTTTTCCGGCACTTACCCGTTAGGGAGAGGGCCTGTTTCAGTAGTGCTTTACTATTCGTCTGATGCTTCGTCCGTAATGGACTGCCTTCCAGAATACGATGGTCGTGGAGCTCGTTGGGCCGATATCTCGCAAAGCGATGCTCTTCATCCTTCTGAGACTCGGTTCGCCAGTATACGCTCCGCTGTTCGGTATCGCATCCGGGCCCCGTCGCGTGAAAATCTACTCAATTGGCACGACCAGGCCTCCAAAGAGTTATACACCTGGATACGCCCCCACACCCCCCCCCGCCCTACCCTCGGGCCGGATGAGTGATCCTGATGTTTAGTAGCTTGTCCCCGTTCCAGGAGCATCCATCCGTTGATCCTCCCGGTCCAGTGCTTGACCACGCGTCCTTGTACGCTATCCCGCCAGCTCTCCGGTACCGGTACCCTTTGCCCACTGAACGCTCGCACCGACAAGAGTTTGTATGTGCGCTCGGTGTACGCATGCCTGTGCCAACGTCAGCGATCGGACTCCCCGGCTCCTATCTCTCTCTAGTTCTGAGGACGAAGGGGGAATTTTGTATCTGGTATTCCGTCGGTGGACGGATACCTCTACCTCCCCGCTTTATGGACGGTCTTCGGATTCCGGGCCCTTGCCATACCCAGGCTACCTCCCGGAACCCACCCGGTCCGTTGCCCTCCACGGATCCTGTGTTCGCCACCGTGACTTCCCATGGAGGGTACTGGCTCTAAATGAGTTTTCCGTCGTCCTGGGGTCACAGCGGGGACTGAGAGGCGAAATGCGGCTCGAGTCGACAGGGTTCCCCATCTGTCTTTTCCCCCGTGTCGCCTCTTCACGAATGGTCTTCGGGGAGCGTGTCAGTGGGCTGTGTCAGCCCCTTTGCTCGCTCCCCTCCCGATTCGTAACCCATCGCACCTCCTTTACAGGTCGGATCCGCGTTTTCATCCTCTAAGTCGTGAACCCTTTTTTTTTTTTTTTACGTAAGGGAATGCATTTACGCACACCCCCGCCATCCTCCAGTGTGGGAGGAGTGGGGCGGGGGTAGTGTGGGACTCATCCCCAATAGGGCAAAGCCCAGGGGAAATACCCACTAAACCCTCACGGTGGCCAGGCTCGGCGCTATGCGGGGAGGCACCGGGATCTCTTGCGAACACAACCGGTACCTCCCCAGCGCCAGCTCCGCCAGTTAACGGCGGAGCGCCCTCTCTGTGGTGGGGGAAGCAAGAGCTCCCACCCCGCCGGACCGCGGGTGCCACAGTCCCGCGATCCCAGCAGTCCCTTATTAGTCGCCTCTTACGACAGGCAGGGATTACCGTGGGCGTATTCTATTCCCCGCCACACAGGGAGGAAAAAGGAAGCGCACCGCCGGGAGGAAACGAACGCCCCCCCTCCCCGGTGGCGGCATCGACGCGAGCACCTCAAGGCAGTGGCGTCAGCGCACCCCCACATGCCCGGCGATCCCGCAACAGGCAGGCGAGCCCGAGG